CCCCCCCATTCTAAAGGCTGCCATATTCACCCGGCCATTCTCAGTATCTTTATAAGTCTGCATGAATACATTTCTAACATGCTATAATAATAAAAATGGCATAATTAATTGATTTTGCAAATCAGTTTTTAGGTTTGTGGCTAGTTTTATGTGTTTCATTGAGCAGGTGTGATTGGCCAGGACATGTATAGCATCTAAAATCAAAAATGCCATGAGATTATTTTACACTATTTCATTGTTTTAATCTTAGACTGGACAATGGCATCTTCGAGTGGCTTTAAGTCAGACATAGTGAACTCTTCCATCAAGAATACCCCAGAACAAGCTACCCACAGTAAGTTCATAACAGTATGTTCAGTCATTATGGCACAATGCTAAAGTACATCTAAAGGCTCCTGTAACCAGTCCCAAATCAAGTTACTATGTGCTGCATAAGTTTTGTACTTACTGTGAAATCTTTTTCTTGGGAGTCTATTGTGGGACACATGAACAGTATAGAAATTATATACAACTGGGTTATGCTGCTTCCTAGTTGTAAATGGGTTTATACGCCTCCTGTGCCCTTCAATAGACAAAAAAAAATAGGATTTATGTACTTTAAAATCTTTTTCTTGGACACAGGAACAGTAGAAAATCATATACCCCTAGGCAGCACTATAACCCAGTATATATTGTGTCACCCACTGCCCCTCCCAGACACTGCAGCTCATGGTGAGAGATTTCAGCAACAGAGCCAGTGCTGTCAACCCAGAAAGCAGTGGGCAGGACTAGGTGTGGCCAGGTGCAGACTGATAGGCTACATGCTTGTGAATCAACAATGATCTTTACATCCTAGTATAAAACAAGGTGGCACAGCCTACATGAGAGTGGCCACTCTGCTCTGAATTCAGGAGCAGTACAGCATGGTTGCCACACCAGATGGACTTCACTGGCACACTCAACAGGTATTTGTGGGAGTTTTCCGGAGGACTAAGAGAAAACTGCAGTACATATTTTTTTTAATGGTGGCTCATAATTCTCTTTTATAATTTTTCATTTACAGCAGATCTCTAAGAACCAAACTGCAATTTCAGCAACCTATAGTCACCAAAATAATGAACGCTCAGTTCCTATTCAAAGAAAACCAAAGCTCACAGTGTCTCTGCATTGCAGGTTTCTAGAACCTGTACCCTGATCACCATCAATTTCGTGCATTGACTGCTGCGCTTAGCCAAGGCTTTGGGATGCTTGATAATCAGCGTGCACAATGATTTTAGCTGAAGTATGTACAATTTTTACACCATTTCTCATAGTGTGCCGATAATCGAGCTTTAAACTGAAAAGTACAGGGGCTCAACAACAAAAATGTATTTACAGCAGCTAATCACTTCTTAGATGTGGTGCCTGCATTAGTTTTCCCCTTAATTTTCAGCTGGTGATCCTGCCAGTAGCACAGTCCCTGTCCTATGGTAAGAGCAAGATTCAAATGTTGTTGCCAGAAAGCTTTTAGATCAGCTGATCTTTGGCATTATCATAGAGGCTATACCCAGACCCTGCTGTGAGAAAGACGCTTGGACAACCTGTAATGTGACCTACGGGCACTGGGTTCTACTAAGGCTTTCTCCTAGACACTTTCAGGGTTATTCACAAAAAGGGTGAAGAGATTGGAGAAGACATAAGGTATAATTATTATTTAAGTGCATGCATGTGGGGGACTTAAAATGTTTTTTTTTTTTTTTTTTTAATATGACACTAATTTTTTTATTTTTTTTTATGGGCTTTTTTTTTTTCTACTGCTAGAAAGCCCCCTATGTGATGGCCAATATACAATGACAGGTCCAATTTATAGAGACATCAGGGGTCCCAAGACCCCTGTCACCTTGGGACACCCCCCCAAAGAAGCTGATGAAGTAGAGATATGCTTCATCAGCTTCTTCTCTGGCTAGCAGCCAGAGAGATGACAGCTAAAGGAGGAAGTGATGTAATACAGAGAGGAGGAGAGATCAGCGGTGAGGGAAATGCTGATCTCCCCTCCTTCTCTGTACTAGCTGACCAAAACAGAGCACACAAAATGGAATTATTACTATGAAGACTAATGAAGAATGAATTCTTGTCCTGTAAGATGAGGAGAAATAAAAAAAAAAGCAGTTACCAAGTCTTTTTGGTATGAACCAATAACATATTACAGACCTTGATCGGGATCTGTTCAGAATACAAGTCGAGTGATAGTATGGACATTAAAGAATCTTTCCGTTTTCAGTGATAGCACATCCCATGCAGCTAACCTGTTCTTGTTTTCATTGCAGTTGACTTTAGCCTCGTCTCTGGCTGTGTGCACACTCTAGGTCTTGAAGCCAGCAAGGTTCCAGCTATGTTTGCTCATTTCCCATAGTCACCATAGTCACAATTAACATTGTTTGTGTTTGTTGCAGAAAATACAGATATGGCAACGTGGCTAAACATGTTTGCAGATCTGGACCCACTTGCAAGCCATGGTGCCAGCAAACATTCAGAAGATGAACTGTTTCGTGCATGAGTGCCTGGACAAGATGGAGGACCAGTTTACTCCTAAACCAGTTTACTACAGTTTAAAAAGAAAAAAAATACACTTTTTCACCTTTTCTGGAGCCTAACACACTTGAAGATGGCCGCAGCGGGATTCATTATACCTTCCTTTGTAACACTTCCACGTTACAGATTTTCTTTATAAAGGATCCAGCAATCAGCTCTGGCTACAGAGCCAGATCCCATTGGTTGTCATTCATCTCTTCTAATTGCTTACTGGATTGGTTTTGCTGTAAGCAGTTACACCTTTTCAGACAGATGGTTTATTTATATATATTTGAACTATAGTTCTATCCAGCTGAGAGACAAGATTTCCTGTCATGTTAAATGAAAACTATAAATGATAAAACTTTAAACTCTACAATGACTATTTTATTACAAAACAAATGGATGGTTTGATCTCTTCGATCTGTACAGTTGTAAAAAGCATAAGCTTTGGAGGTGGAATAGACAAAGTACTTTGTTCTTAAATTGATGAGCATTGTAGTGGAAATCGGAAGGGTCTACTATAGTACTGTGGACCTGCATATTACTGTGGAAGCAGTCATGAAATAGTTGGGGGTGCTGCATCAACCATTATCCAGAAGCACAAAATAATACTACAACCCCAAACTCTTCAACAATCCCCTGCCAGTGGCCGTATGCAAATAGACAGACTTGATGTCTTTCAAAATATGACAATGCTTAATGCAGAACAAAGAGCATATCTCCATTTAATGCTTGGGGCTCAACTGTGGTCACTGTAGAAACCCTGTCTTCATTGATGTAAGATATTTACTCTGCTCCTTCCAGCACTGTGATTGAGTTCCAGCTACAGTATAGTACATTGCAGGGATCATGTCGTGTAGCAGCCCTCGCCTCTCTCCTCACCTATTCACAAAAAGCTTTGTACTCGGAATGGATGAGGGGAGACCCTGTTGTTTACTTACCTCTTCTCTTGTCTATTCATAAAACAAAGACGTTTCTGCAATATAAGGCGAGAGGGGGGAGAATAGGGGATGCTACACACCACTATTCCTGCACTGTGCCATAGTCAGAGCTCTCAGTCGCAGCACCCCGAAGAATGCTGTATCAGTGAAGATAGGATTTATACAGTAACCAGAGATCTGAGCATTAGAGGTAACATTAAAATGGTGCTGTTCCCCCAGGCAACCTTTTCCCTGGCGTTCCACTTTAAATAATACTGAAGAAGCAGCTTCAAACTAATATCGCATACAAAAATATGGGGGGTTGCCATTGCTGTTTGAAAATGCCAATTGCCTGGCTGTCATGGAAGTTCTGACTTAGAACTTTGCACAGTATGAAGGGTCTTCACATTCATCGGTTTCTCTTAACAAACCTCTTACACTGCTCTATATTTAAAGCTAAACACCAGACAGGCAGCTAAATACATATATGGGTGTTTTACTGTCACATTGTTTGTATTTCTGTTTAGCCATCCTAAGATAAAAGTAGTCCTGCCAGTCACCTCAGCCAGGTTACTATAGAACTGAAACACTGCCTGGTCACCTTAATGTCACAGCCTGTGATTGGACAGCGAGGAGTCATTTCTCTGCTGTCTCTACTCTCTCTTGCTGTTAGTATGCACCTTGCCAGCTCATGTGTTCTGATTGCTGCCTTGGCTTTTGTACTCATCATAAAATCCTTTTCTTGGAGTCCATTGAGGGACACTGGAAGTCTTTAATGTCTTTGAAAAGGGCAGAAACCTGACCCTTGATAGTGCCGAGAGCCAAACACTGTCCAGAATCAGCTCCAGGAAGGAGGATTCATCCCAAGGGAGAGACTCCTGGGGTAGGAGCCCAGGCCCGAAGCCATGCTGCAGAAGCCAGCAAGCATGAAGCAAGATGACAAATCAGTCATGCCCATGAAGAATCTTATCAGTTGAGCAAGCCACAACCACTTATTAGGCTACATCTAGACAATGGAGGGAAATATCCTTTTGATGTACTGGGTCCGTACAGAAGGATGAGAGCACAAAGTTCTGGTTAAGGTGAAAGACGGAGACCACCTAGGGAAGGAAGGAGGCTTTAGGCCCTAAAACCACCTTGTACTTCTGTCAAAAGAACTGTACACTTCACATTGTTTCCCCAAAAGGAGGTCATCCACCTATGCAATAATGGGGGGCGTGGCAAGCAAGCAAGCAGGCACAGGGCCTGGTACCTTGGTGAATAAAAAGGGTGAAATACAGGGGAATGGCAGAGCTTCAAACTGTGTTGAGGACCCATTACAGAGTGGGGAAAATGAATGACTGGTCTGCTAATCTGAGCAGTGACACCAGAAGGTTGGAAGACATGAAACAAGCAAGTTGGCTGCAGGAGTCTAGCTTGTAGCCTGTTGAAACTACCATCTGTACCCAAGCAACTGAGATGCTGTCTAAATCTTTGCAAAGGTCAATAGGTGTTTCCCCCCCCCACTTTGAAAACTGGGAACACCCTTCATGCCAAAAAGACCTTGTCTGCTGGTTTGGCTGTAGCAGGAGGCAGTTTGTTCTGCAAAAGGCTGGAGAGCAGTACGATAATGTGTGTCTGCAGCAACAGTGAAACATGGTGGAGGTTCCTTGCAAGTCTGGGGCTGCATTTCTGCCAATGGAGTTGGAGATTGTCAGGATCAATGGTGATACTTATCCATCATGCCATACCATCAGGGAGGCGTGATTGGCTCCAAATTTATTCTGTAGCAGGACGTCCCCAAACACAGCCAATGTCATTAGGAACTATTTAGGATTTGAGGCAGCCGACATCCACAGAAGATCAGAGCTTACTTCTCCAAGATGTTTGAAACAACCTACCTGCCAAGTTCCTTCAAAAACTGTGCAAGTGTGCCTAGAAGAACTGATGCGGTTTTGAAGGCAAAAGGTGGTCACACCAAATATTAATTTGGATTTCACTTCTGTTAAGTTACTTTCCATTTTGTTAATTGCTAAAAATAAACAATTGACACGTATTTCGGAAAGCATTCTTACTTTACTGTACCGTTTATTCCACACCTGCCTAAAACTTTTGCACAGTAATATATATATATATATATCCCCCCCCCACCCCAATTATTTTTGGATAGTAACCAGGGCCATGCAAATCCTAAAACTGGGGCATAAAGGAATAATTGGCATGGTTCACCCTGCTATTCCTAATGTGGAGCAAGTCCCTTATCGTTGTGATAGGATATGTGATAGAAGCGAGACATACAAATGCCTTTCGTAAGACAACTACTGTGTTTTTCACTCATTTGGGGGGCTTTTTGGTTTACTTTATACATATATATATTTTTTTTTTAAATAGCTGGTGTGAGGTAAAATAGCTGCAGACGCTACAGGAAGGATCACCTCAGTGCAAAACCTCTTAAAAATATATGTGCAGCGCATATATGTGAACACAAATACTTCAATCAATAATCTAATTTACAAGTATAACAATATTAAATTACAAAAGTGAAAAGTCCGGTACGGACATAACAGTTTGCAGTTGCAGAGTGGAGCAGAGGATTTGGAAGAGACACAACTCTGTTCCTTATCCGGCCTTTGCTGTGTTTGTCCACGGAGGGGAAGTTCATGAGCGGAGCTGCGCTTATTACTGCCTCTTTGATATTTTAATGGTTTTACGCTATGGGCTATGTTTATTCCCATCTTGAAATGTCTGCAGCGGGATACACATCTCTACATCTGAATCCTGGAGAAGCAAGAGAAGAATTAAGGATTATAACAGGAGTGTTGTGCCTGGCGATTCTCTAAATGAATTTTTACCTGTGTGGAGGTCTAAGTTTAAGGGGAGCAGCTCACTATGAGGGGTGGACAATGGTGGAAAATACAAAGCTAATGAAGATTGAGACACCTTCGAAGGATTAAACGCTTTGGGACAGTTTACATACTTATTGCACTGTTGGAACACTTTGTACACGTGTGATTTAATATTTATCATTCTAAATGCGTATCGATTGAAGTATATTTACACATTTATTCATTCACATATAAAGGACAGCACATGTATTTGTCACATTTCTGGTTTATTTTAACACATCCTACCATAAAAGGTGTCAAGTTCACATTAGCAAATCTTCCCCTCCAGCAGAGATCATGGTTCTACTAAGCAACCCCTAACCAACTCCAAAAGTGTATTTCCACTTCTTGCAGTCAATTTTGAGAAATTCCTCTGTTTGTTGCGTGTTCCTAATCACAGAGCATACCGAAAAATAACATACTTTTTACCTTTTAGATGTTTTGCTGCAGCAGGCAACATGGCGGATTCCAGGTTTTTCTGAGCTCCTTCACAGTAATTTGTTCTCATAGAAAGACTAGGGACTCATTAACATTTCAATACAAAAGTCAGGGTTGTAATCCTTACAGAACAGAGCAAAAGGAGCACCTCCATAGTGTAAAACAGATTTAATGAAGGTAAAATACAGGTGGGCCATCTAGACGCTGATCAGTGTCTAGATGGCCCTGGCTTGAACACTTCTCTGATTTCTGCACCTTGTTCTTTCCTTTGTCCATCTTGATCCACTTGAGACCATTTTATTCAATGCTCGTTTTTTTACAAGTCATTTGTAAGTACATTTCCAGCTGTATTTTCCCTTTTATGAAATCTGTTTTACACTGTTGGGGGCGCTCCTTTAGATAACCGGTTTACCCCGACTGTGAGGAGCTGCCCCTGTGTGTATGAAGCTGGGTTCCAGAGTGACAGTGATTTTCTCATCTACATTGTAATCCTTACACCCCAACCCAAGTGAAAGATATTTAAACTGCAAGAAGCATTTGTAAATATTGTTTTAGCTCATGATATGTGAATGGGAACATGTAACAAATATAAAATAGGTGTTCTCCCAATTTGGCTGAAAAAGATGAAATGCACTTTAAAATCACTGCACTGTCATGAGAAAAGGAACAGATGATAGAAGTCTTATTTGAACAATGTGGGCCCAACACTCACCCTGGAGTCCGGCAAAACTGTTTCTATAAACATGGCTTTGCATATAGTCAATGTTAGCAAAAAAAGAACTATTAGAACGTATTTCTTGCATGCGTCTGATAAATAACAAATGAACAGGAATCACCAGCACTCAGAACTGTCGCCTTATTTATCAATCACTAAGATACTGTCTGTATGCTCAACCTACCTATCAAAACTGCAGCAGACAGAATCGCCCTTTCATTTTCAACTCCTAGCGGAACATACTGGAGAGATGATTGGTTGCCATGGGCATCTGCTCCAGTTTTGATAAACCCTCCCCAAAGTGTCAGCCTTTATGCAAAAGTATGACGTGCAAACAGCAAAACAAGACGGGTTTCCAGTTTCAAGTTTTATTAACATAACAAGTCTGATATTCACATCTCACTATGCTGCACACATAGTGACCTACACACACGATTCATTCTGTCCTTGGGCTTTAAATAAAGGCTGGTGCACCGCTCACAACTGAAACAGTTATTGCTATAGAAAATAAATTGTGAATGGGAGAAGATCCAACAAGAATGATGTTTACAGGAGCTTTCTCCGGATGAGGGTCAGATGTCATCATTTGATGTAAACAGCGTTCCGTCTTTCATAGGCCGGGATCTAGAAAACAAGCCCACCAGCACAGGAAGAGGAGAGGGACTTTGTAGCAGTAATACAATTTGGGATTAGGTTACTTTCATCATTTAACTGCTTTACAAATACAAGACAATCACAAGTTCTGCCAAACAGAACAACAGGTCACTTGCCTGACCCTAAAGTCCAGTTCCAGCCAAAACCATTGATTTACTCTTAAATATAGTGGAGGAAGATGGCACTTTCCCTGATTTTACTGAAGTCTGTCATTTTCTAAACCTGTTAAAACAGATGAAGAAATGAAGGGAAAGGGGAGCGGGTACCAGGACAGGAGGGAACAGAGAGCAATACGCATCTCACAGAAGCTCCAACTCTTCCTCACTAAATAAAGTTGTTGCTGTGCCGATCCCCATTGGATAGATGTTCCATAGCATTCTGACCCGGTGCCACTGGAACAAAAAGTGAGAGGAAGTCTCTCCGATTGGGACTAAAACTGCAACAAAAGCATGGCAGAGGTGTTCCCTACCCTCGGTCTTTGCAGAATAAAAAGGGGCAACAACATTATTAATGATAACTCATCATTGTAAAATAAACTCATTAAGCTTCCCATCCCATAACACTGCGTAAACACTTCTGTACTGAAGAAGGACAACAGAGAAAGTGTTGCTGGCTTCCTCTGCCTCCAGCAATCAGTTCAGTGATATGCTAAAGCCATAAGCAGTCTCCTCCTCCTCACTTAATCTAAGCCATGTTAACCTCTTCTTTGAGGCACACTGGAGGTAATTTACTAAAACGGGAGCTGACAGAATCTGGGGCACCCGTGCAGAGTAACCAAACCGCTTGTTCAGTCAAGTGTTGATAATGAAAGATAGAAGCCGATTGGCTGCCATGCACAGCTGCTCCAGATTCTGTCTTCTTCAATTTTAGTAAATCAGAACTGCATTTGCAACTGCCAAGTCTTTTCAAGCCACTATTCAGAGTCACCCTCAGCTAATGAGCCTGAGACATAAGGCTAACATACAACAGAGGCAGAAGATTGATTCTCCAATATAAAATCACAGACACCTGTCTGCTGTTACCCTAAGAATATAAACCAGGTTCTGTGGTGAAACTATAAGTCCCATGAGGCATTGCAAGACTGCCAGCCAAAGGCATGACGGGATTTGTAGTTTCATCACAGCTGGAGTGCCGAGGTTGCCTACTGTTGGTATAAACACTCAAATTCTTGCAGTGCTGATCACAGAAGGTCAACATGACGAGGCCCAGAACCCCAGGAAAGTGTGTCACATGACATTCCATAACACATGAATGCTGAGCTGCCTGACCCTAGTGACATGAGAAGGCATTTATATAGTGAAAATGTTGTATGAATGTATAACAATCAGGATTGTGACTGGAATACACTGAAGATGCAGCCCCTACATTTAATGCCATGTAACATACTTACTAATCATCTAGAGCTTCATTTCCTCAGCCTCTTCTCTTCATTTATATACATTCACCTTTCCTGATAAGGGGCTAGAACTGAGCCAGAATTTCCTCAACACATCCAAAAACAATTGGTCCCCACAGCTGGAAAGCAGCTGAAATCAATAGGAAATATCACAGCCACGTAAACGCCATCTTTCCCAACACATATGTAGTTTGTACACGTGCAGAAGTAAAAGAATATGTCTTTACCTTTAATTACGTCACTATGGTTACATTAACCTAATTTAATAAATAGCACTGGTAATCTCCAGCATAGCAGCTGTTCCATACCTCCACCTTTCATGAAGCACAGCGTAATGTTCTCCTAGCAACCACCGGATCATGTGATCAATAACTGCCGTGGCACTTTCTGCATATAGAGTATAGTGGACATGAGAACCTTGCACAATACAGCAGAATGACAGCTTCTATCCTGTCACTCTCCAGCACATTTCCATTGATAGTTCTGCCAGCATGGTGCAGACAAAGAGCAGAGCACAGTGCTCCTGTGTACGATATTCCTCCCAGTGTTACACTTCCCCATACACAGCATCGGTTACATATAACCCTTTTATAACAGTCGCATAAAGGTCAGTAAATACTACAGCATATTGGCCAGATCATGGGAACGGTGGTATCAAGGCTACCAGCAGTTCATTATCAGCAAGTGACCCAGCCATCATGGCAGTCACACCGGCAGCAAGAGTCAGATTTTAAAACAAAAAAAAGTGACAAAAGGCTAACAATGAAAGCCCTTTCCATTATCAGACACTGAGCAGATCAATTCATCTCAATACCATCAATGGTAAGGCATGCTGTTCGTTCAAATTGAGAAATACAGTCAGTAATGAAATAAGTTTATGGCAAATACTGCATCCAGAGTATTATGAAATCAGTGCAGTCCTCCAGCTCAGAGAAAGATAGCCCAGATTCAGTCATCTTCCTCATCGATCTGGCCGGTGGGGTGCAGTAGAGACATTGGTGATACAAGTGTGTTTGTACCGCGAGAACTGCGCTCCTGTTCCATGTTGGATGATATGGAGGCCATGCTGAAATTCTGAACCAATGATGGAGGGATAACTGAAGGCACGGTCAAACTGTGGTTGGTGCCTTTGAAGGTAAATTCCTGATTGGGCAGAAGAGGCTTCAGGATGCTGACAAGGCAGAAGGCAGAGCCACTCTTTGGAATAAAGTTCACTTTGTTCTTGTCCGGACAATAGAATTGTGGGATTTCTTGCAGGGGCTTCGGCCTAGAGTTAGGTACAAAAGGCATTAGCAAAAAGAATGATAGATATGAATAATAAAAAATATGGTATTACTACTTCTACATTTTAATAACTTCAGCTATGATACAAATTGCCAGCAAATTTGCACTGTGTATAAATGAGGTTTCATATTCTGTGAGCTGAAACACTACCGACACAATGAATGCATAATGAACCAATTGCTCCACACCAGGCGGGAGCAGGAGAGGCTGGGACATGTCAATGCTGAGTCAATGTAGACTCATGAACACAATCTTGTCACACACCCACACAAACAAGCTGCGTCATACATGGTGCAGGCCTTTCTCTTCTTCCAAATATTGCTTCCAAAGCAAAAATACAAAGGCAATTGTTTTTCAGTCTATAGACTCTATAATACTCATTACTAAATGTTGTCTTTTGCCTCACATTCCCCTTTAAGTTTCAATTTCCAGCTCAATATTTATATAGTGACTATAATCAAAAAGAAGCTATACATATTGTGAGGGGCAAGGCTCGCCGGGTGTTGGCAGCTTATTCTACAAGGCAGCAAACAGCTTCAGTGCAGGAGGACTTTGTACAGTAAATCCATTGCATGAAATAAAACATCTGTCCATCTGAGCAAACAACTACATTCACATCTGTTCCTGACTAACATGTTGCCTCCTAATGGGTTCCCCGACACAAACAGCCAGCACATGTAACTTTGTGTTCTATCAGCACTCAGCCTTTTCACCCAACAGCAGGATTCCACAGCAGAGTAAGAGAGCCCTGAGCATCAGCCAGCTCACATATATGGAGGCCTGTGGACATCCAGGACTAATAATGAGGTCTGGCTAGTTGGGTAAGATGTGGATCTAGGAATGGATACTCTATCCCACTCAAAGCCTCTGGCTCCAAGACCCAGAACAAGACAAGACTTCTAAAATGTTCAGAGAAAATAACTTTATTCTCTTCACATCGGGGATAAAACCTGGAGCCCCACACCATGTGTATGTGAGAGACCTAGGTGACACATACACACCACCTACAATCCTGCCAGCAAGTGCTTCACAATGTTAACTAGCACTAAGATACAATCCTATACAGTACACAGATATGAACATCCTGCATGAGCCTTAAATGTGTTAATTAAAAAAAAAAGAAACTGGGGATTTGTACACAATACCTCCCATTTCATAGGCCCACCAGCCTGAAGTAGGGCAGTCCTGTTTCCCACTGCCTGGCTGTACACCAGACAAGACAGTGCTTACATCTATTCTTCCAGGCACATGCCCTGCAGTGTGCAGCCGTTACCATATGAGCTGTAGAAATTAATGGCAGAGCAGGACTACGATACATCTTAGGTCTGTGTGGGGCCCTACTAGATAATTGGGGGTAGGTAAAACCTGAACTTGTACTTTAGGGCAAGCATCAGACTTTAATGCCCCATCCCCACCGGCACAGAATTCCATTTCCTTCACTCCCTGGCCACTCTATTCAGCTACTAGCAGCCAGAAAACAAACTTGAATTGCTCAGAGATAACACGAGGCGTAGGACTCTCCCCACCCCCATGTGACTGCAACTGCATCAATCACAAGGCACCAATGTTGTCCCATGAGAAAAAGGAGTGACAGTCATATGCTCCTCCATACAAAGTGCCACCAGGTTTGTTTGTTTTTTTGCTCTTGAAGGTTTATCAAAGTGGTGGGGAGCAAAAGAAAGGCAAGTATGTGCTGCTGAGGTGGATTATAATGAACCAGTCTCATTGCCCTGCATGGACAAAGCACAGGTTTGCTTTAAAATATTTACTTTGAACAAGACTGGAAAAGAAAGAAAAAGATTAAATGTGAATACTGTACATTTAGAATGATTCTAGAGCCATAAATCATCTATAGAATATAAACTCTTTGGAAAGAGCTGAAATCAGATATTCCAAACAATGAACATGCAAGAAAAGCAATGACGTGAGTGGTGATCATAGGAGGATACCCACACATATCAAGAGGGGAAGGGGTGAGCAGAAGGTAAGCAAGTGCTCTCAAGAGTCCCTATAGTGAGGCTTCATATACATCTAGTTAAATACTGGGCAACTTTATTGGACTGATACCATTTAAAATGGGAAATTCTACAGCATTTGCCATGATATCATCAGTCATCTAAAACCGGAACATAAATGTGTGTCTCACATAGGATATACAACAATTTGCTCAAAAATGTAAAACAAATGGAAAAGCGCACTACCTGGAGCACCAACTGTTGGGGACGTGGGCACAAGTGATTACAATAAAAATTGATAATTTTAAGAGTTAAAAAACAGTGTGCAAGCTCTATGGTGAACAGGGTGAGGGACCCTGTATGGAGCGACATACACAGATATTTTTAGAGCGCTACTACTGTATAGAGAGACTTACGTTTGAGGTGTCCCTGTGTCTCAGAAGGAAATCCTCTGTGATCCCCGTGTGGAGCGTGACTTAGCCAGGGTACAAAGTGGGGTGACCATGGGATGGATGGATGCGTGCCTGGATGGTGTATAGCTGGCAGGAACGATCAGATGTTAGGGCTGTGGGACTGACATGGCCAGACCTGGCCGCAACAGCAGTGCGTGGTGACCGCTGGATGAGTGTCAGTAAGTCAGACTGTACGGGAAGCTACACTTGAGGACAAGGGGGGCCGCAGTGTGTTGGAGTCTGCTGAACCCGCTGAGCGTCAGAGAAGGTGCCCAGTGGGTTCATATAGCACTGAAGCCACTCGATTGCTAAAGGCAAGTCGAGTGGCTTCAGTACTTTCAGGGCCACTGATCCACAATAAGTATGGCGATAAGGCATTCTAGCTTGGTAGCCCAAATGGTCTGATGACAAATACACCTAAATGCACACTTACAAGCCTTCTTCAAACACTTTCACCCTCTCACAGCCCTCAGGTGGCTCTCTCTTGAACATGTAGCTGTTATTTGGTTTTGGAGATGTAGCGTACTTGGGAAGAGGAGAATGATTTCCATTTTCTGCAGAAGCACAAAAACCAAAAACTGAATGTTACCAGATCACAATGAAACAGAGAGTAAGATTCACAATGAACCCAAAGACCCAGCAAAATACACCAATCTATGAAATTGCATTTGAGCTGATTTTATACATTGCCTATTTGCACCATTCATTTTTAGAATGTTGACATACTACTTTGAAAATGAAAACATAACCAGTTGTGAAATAAGTAGGCAAAATAACTATGGAAAGAAAGTGTGTGCTGCCATTCCTGAGCTCCATCAGAAAATCTTGCTGCTATGGAGAAAGTATTCAGCCAGTAAATGTAGAACTCTGCATTCTTGTTCTGGTAGATTTGCTCACAATGTACTGCAGACCAAGGAGAGGAGCATGGCAGACAACTGTCATTTTCAGGAACAGAGGTCGGTAATGGAAGCCTTCAAAATGTTCCTCATAACATATGTCCTCTAATCTATTACAGGGGGGTAAGTAAGGTTAGTGATATCTATTTTTATTGCAGGGAGCTTGGCTCGTGATTTAGAAGAGTTATCAATATGAAAGTATGACGTGGAAAGTTGCTGTACTACCAAATGTATTATTTGACACTTTAGCCTATTCATGTAGCATTACCATCAGTGAAATAACCACTGTACGCAAAAATATGAACGGTCCTGAAGACTGATTTCAGGACTATCTGCTTCTTCCACAAGTTATTCTGGCATAGGAAAAAAAAACCTCTACCAGGTATAAATATTGATATACTTACTTTACTCCAGCTTGGCACAATGTAAATGTATAAATAATTTATACCTGGTAGAGCCATGGGGATCCTGGAACACGTGTAGTGCCTGAGTTAGTACTACTACTAGAGGTAGTGCTAGTATCACCTACGAAATTGGGTCACTACTGGAAGAACTAAGTAATGTTGCCAAAAATGGACCCAGCTGCATCAGGAACAATAAAAAAACAAAAATGTAAATATGGGTGAAGTTGCTGTAACTGATACATTAAAAAAGGTGTTGAGTATGCACCACACATTACTTAAAGGAGAACTATGAGATGAGTGATTTCCACTCACCTCATAGTTCTAGCCGACCTGTGACAATGAGACTGTCACAGGTCGGCTCAGTAGATCGGGAGGTGAGCGAACACATACCGGGTTCGCTCACCTCTCGATCCTGTCACAGCTCTCTGCCGTGACAGGGGGAGGGGCTGGATTCCCCTCTCCCCGCTCTGATCTGCCAGCGCTGACTGGCGGAACGGACGGGGGAGGGGGCGGGTACAGCTGGCTCTGCCTCTAGATAGGCAGAGCCAGCTGTCAGTCACGCAGCTGGGCAGATCCCGACATCCAGGTTGGGATCCGCTCCGGCTGAGGTGTCTTAGTATACCGCGAGCTGTAGCTCGCTGTATACTGAGCTTAGGGTACCGGGAGGACGCTAGTTTGTGTCCTCCTGTTACCCTCAGAACTATGGGGAAAAACACTGACCCCATAGTTCTCCTTTAAAGCAGAACTAAAGTCGGCTTTACATTTCTCCCCCATTGATGGAACGTCCCCTTCGCCTCTAACATCTTCGCTCAGTCTTCTTCTGGGTTTGGCCAGGATGTAACATGTGACAGATCTCGTATACCACATGCATGAGATCTGGGGCAGGCATCATCTGTGGGCCAGCACAGAGAACAAAGGGGAAAAAAAGCTAGCCACCGACAAAATATATTTGTTAAATGGTGGCCGGGGCAATAGAGACTAGGGGGATTAGGGACAACCAGGCTAGAGAGGCATGTAGCCAAGTGACAATTTGTTTTCATATGTACCGTATTTGCCGGCGTATAAGACGGGGTTTGAGACCCCCAAAAAAATCGCCCGAAAATCGGGGGTCGTCTTATACGCCGGGTATACTTCGGTATACTGTATGTAGCTTCGGCTACATACAGTATACCGCGCTGAGCCAATCACGGCAGGCTTTGCATTCAGTAAATACAGGCTTTGTATTAAAGAATACAACCCTGCCGTGATTGGCTCAGCGCTGAGCTAATCACGGCAGGCTTTGTATTCTTTAATACGCACCCCGGCCTGATTGGCTCAGCGCGGTAGTAGCTGAAGGACGGAAGATGGAGGACGCTGCTGGGATCCTGGACAAGGTAAGAGACTGTAATCCCGAGTGTGGCTCGGGGTTAACACTTATGGTACTGAAAATTACCCCCGAGCCACACTCGGGAATACCGCCAAGGAGGTTAGTAAGTGCATTTAAACATTGTTTTGGGCTATACTCGTCTTATACGACGAGTATAGCCCAAAACCTATATTTTTACACAAAAAGTGGGGGGTCGTCTTATACGCCGGCAAATACGGTACCTTTTATTTATTGCTGGAGGCTCATTAAACGGGATGGTTCACTTTAACCCATAAACACCAAGGAGGCTAGACAATATTTCTACACGTTTTCCAAGTTAAAACATCTTAAGGCCTAACTCCAGGCACAATAAACATACCCGGGTTAAAGCCATTATATGTGCCACAAAAAGCAACCCTGTTATGCTGGCTTTAAGCCAGTTATACACGCTTTTTTCTTCATCCAACCCCCGCGCCCCCCCCCCCCCTCCGCAAGTTGTTTTTTACCCTCCCTCCCCTCCCGC